ATGACTTCTAAGTCTTGGAGTTCAAATGGAAAAAAAAAAAAAAACTAAGACTAGTTAGAATGACACTCAATCCCACCTCCCTAGAACAGATCAGGAGAGCAACATGTATGTCTAACCTAGTGGAAGGTCCCAGGTTCCGAGCTGTTTCCTAGCCTCCTAGGAAAGAAGGGCGCAGGGTGGGGGCAGCTTCTGACCCCATCCGGTTGACCGGTCGCAAAGTTTCTCAAGAATCCAGGCCCCCGCCCCGCGCCTCCGCTTTTACAGCCTGCCCCAGCAAGGAAGAAATTTGGCCAAGACTGACCCGCTGGCCAGATTCCTGGGCTGCCACCCCTTGCAGGATAATCCTGCTCAGAAATCATGGGATTCTCTTCGCTCTAGGGGCCCCCATTTCCCGCGGTATTTAAAAGTGCCTCACCTAATACACACCTCAGTCCCCGAACCTCGGGAGTCCAAACTTCTCCAGGATTCAAATGAACCGGCCCCGCCCTGCGCATGCGCTTCCGCGGAGATCCAAGCGGCGGCCAGGCGGAGCCGAGCTCTCTGATGTAACCTGATTGGTTGAGTTTTGGATATACGGCGCGAACCGATGCGCACGCCGAAGCTGACACAGACCCAATTCCGGATTACTGCTGGCCCCACCCGCCGAGACCCGCGGGACGCGCGGCAAGTGGGCCGTTGCTGCCAGAGCCAGCTGATTGGCTGGCGTTCCCACTGTGCTAAAATGTTCGCATTCGTCATTATGCCGTAAAACAGAGCAGTCTTGATTCTTGAAATTAGCAAGATTAATTATAGTGATCACATTGCCCAGATTGACCCCAAATGTTGGGACTTTGAATATGTAGGAAAATACGAAACTGCAAACTTCTCAAAAAAGACTGCCTCTCCCATGTTGGGCAAGAGACTTAGGTTAAAGGGTCTATGACCTCTAAAGCTGTCATTTTTCCCATGTGAAACTAGGAGATGGGAGGAAAGAAAGGCTGGAACTGCCCTGTTTTACCTTCCAGGGTTTGCTAAAAACATGTAGCCTGAGCCAGATGTAGCACTTTGCACGTAACCAGCCAGTCCACACGTAAAGATTCCTAACTTTGAGAAATTGTTGGACCTTAAAGATATTGGCTAAAACAGCAATAAGGGCTTAGAGTGAGACCTGACATTGGGTCCTAGTTTAATCTCTTACTAGAGTAGAAATTAGGAAAGATATAAATTTAACAGTTCTGATTCTTTTGAGGGGAAAACATACCTATAAACTGTAGCAAAATGGTAGTGGGAAATTTTGCTATCTTAGGAAAAGATGAAGAATTGAAGATTAAGTTGCTGTATTTGGGAAAGACTACAGCAGAAATGACTATTTACCACATTTTCTATTTATATGTTTTTCAGAGCACTTTCGTGAACTCTTATTTAATCATGCATGAGAATTGGGTATTTAATATCTTCTATGATAGCTGCTCTTCCTTATCTAGTAAAACTGAACATATATCAAGAGTCATTTTTATACTTGAAATAATTTCATATAAATAAAAAATGGCAACAACTATGTATCTATCAATAAGCACTTTAAATATAAATGGAGTAAATGCTCCAATCAAAAGACATAGGGTAACTGAATGGATAAGAAAACAAGATCCGTACACATGCTGTCTACAAGAGACCCACTTCAGATAGAAAGACTCACAGACACTGAAAGTAAAGGGATAGGAAAAGATTTTTCATGCAAATGGAAATGAAAAAAAAAAGCTGGGGTAGCAATACTTATATTAGACAAAATAGACTTTAGAACAAAGGCGATGATAAGAGACAAAGAAGGATGTTTCATAATGATAAAGGGATCAATTCAACGAGAGGATATAATCCTTGTAAACATGTATGCACCCAATGTAGGAACCCCTAAATACATAAAACAAATACTAACAGACGTTAAGGAAAAGATTGACAATAACAAAGTCATAATAGGGGACTTTAACACCTCACCGACATCCATGGATAGATATTAATCATTTCATAGACTCAAATGTAAATTGGAAGGGATTTTAAGTCTCCAATCCCTTTCTTTTTTGTAGATGATAAAACTGAGACCTTGAGTAGTACAATAATTTGACTAAGGTGACAAGACTGTAGCACTGGAACTTGTGCCACTTTGTGGACACATAGTGAGGGACAGTGGTTCACCTTTATTTAATAAAACTACAATTTTCTCTGAAATCATTCTTCCACCTTCCCTTGTCTTCACCTAATGAAGCAGAACTCCCAAGACCTGTAAATTGTATTGAGATCCTAATTCTATGGCTTTCTATCTTATGTGCTGACATCACAGGAGTGTGGGGGGACATAAATGGGATTGAAAATTTGGTAACCTCGTTAGTATATTAAGTGATTATACTCCCCCTTTTCTTTTTTTTCTTTCTTCTCCTCTTTAAACATCAAGATGTATGCCTTAAATATACACAATTTTCATTTGTCATATTTTCTTCCCCCCTAAACCAAACTAAAAAAAAAAAAAAAAAAAAAGAGCCTGAATTCCTTGACATGGCCCTTGCTATTCAATTTTTCATTATTTGTCCAGCCAGTTTCCTCCAAATTTTAATTTTTTATTTTGAAAGAATGAGAGAAAAAAGACAGAGGTATCAATTACAAGAACAATGACATTGAAGAAAATACAATAATTTGTACTCCCACACTCACAACACCCCCCACCACCACCCCTTTCCCCATCCCTGGCACAACAATATTAAAACCGTCAAAGCACATCTAGCAAGGAGAAACAGCAATATGTAATGAAGAAAGCAAATTTTCATACTGCTCAATCCAACTAACCCATATCAAATGTCCTTCCCCCAGCCAAAAGTCCACCCCACAGGAATGATAAAGAAGTGTAGAAGAGACAACCTTGCAGGTAACTTGGATCTCTGCTCACACTAGCAATTCAGCGAAGATTCAATAGAAGTAGTGAATCTATTTGGCAGGGAAACACTGTCAAATTTCAGATGATCTAAGAAAACAGCTAGAGATTCACAGACTTTGAACAGGACGAATCCCTGTTCCCTCAAACACAACAGTGGAGAAGCTGCCAAATCCTGGTTAGCTGCTGAGAACAGTGGAAATGAGGCAGCTTTGGCTTAAGAAAATCTAAAAAAGATGTCTGATAACAAGTTTACTGCTTCAGTTTCAAACTGTAAGTAAAGGAGCTTACAGGTTGAGCTTGGACAAAGGCAAGGTGAAACTTCCAATTTTACCACTTGAAGAACTAGATTATCTATTCACTGCATGTATTCTTTATTTTAATTAAACCTCATGGAGTATTCGAAATTTAAACAATTGTTAAAAGTAGAGGCTAATTAATTTTACATATAACTTAGTGTCTCAAATCAAAGGAACTTTTTCCTAAAGTGGTAGGTTTAAGTTTTCAGCCTAACCTATTGAGAGATTCCCACATCCCATGAGAAAGTACCACTTGTTTTATACCAAAAGTAGGATTCTCTTTATAGGAGGTTTATTCTGTCTTCACTAGAATCAGTCTATAAAGGGAAGGATACTTATGCAGGATTAGTTCAAGATCAGAGTCTTCTCCGCATGTGCTTACACACACACAGAGTGAATACATTTTCCCACACATATAATCTCACAGTCACATGCTTGCCAGTAATAGAGGAAAGTTCATATCATTACAAGTCCATCTCAAAAAAAAAAAAAAAAAACACTTCGATAGTTAGCCATATACATGTACATGCAGCAAGATGTGAGAGTTGCCCCAAAATGACTAAAGGTGGTGCACATATATCTACATGGGGAGGTCATTTTGAGTACAGGTGTACACAAACCACAGGGCCATTAATTTGAAGATTATATTTTTCCCTCTCCCCCAAGATAAATAAATCAAATGTAAAACACACACTGATATCTTCAAGAGTGTCACGGAGGCAACTGCCGGGAAGGTCCACTTTTTGTACTTCTGCTTTCCTATGACAACTTCATTTTGCCCTGAGGGGCTTTCTCATATAAAGAGGGTTGCTCCTCAGCTTTCCCAGCATTTCCTGCCTTTCCCTGGGGCGTGGACTTCTTCTCAGAAGACCGGTCCTCAGGCTTGCGTGCAATCAGCAGGCGGCAGGTGAGCAGGATTCCAAACACCAGGGCATGGGCGTAGCGTTTGAGAGGATCACCGACTAGCTGGTGAAAGAAGAGCACAACCAACACCAGCAAGAGCAGGAAGAAGTTGGCCACATCTTTGGGACGTCCAGGCACAAGGGTCATGACAATGCCACAGGCCACCTCAAGAGTCCCAATGCTTTTGCGGAGGAGAATAGAATTGATCCCCATTTTCTTCAGCAGAGGGAGGGCTCGAACATACGTCTTGTAAGCACGTTTCTAGAGTGGAATACCATAAGGAAATCATCGCATTAACTATGATTTCAACATTAGAATGAAGAAAACACCAAGCAAGGTCCTTCCCCACTATTCCTTTTCCACACCAGTCAAAGGTGTCCCATTTTTTACTGTGTCCCTTAAATAAAAGCCTTGTAATTAAGGAAAAAAAGCAAAGAATCTGCTGAGATTCCTGTGATTTAAACATTATTAATCAGCACCAAAGGTAAGAGAATTTGGCTCTATAGTCTAATTTTTTTTCTGATTATAAATCATAAATAACATGAAAAATTTTAAAGGAAATTCATCGGGCTCATAAAAAGTGGTACAGATTAGCCACATCACATTTTCTAGTGCCTGCCTTGTCCAAATCCAGATGCACATGAAGACCAATAAAAAAGAAACGAGGCAAGACACAGTATGGTAAAGCCTCCCTAATTTGGACTTTCCTATTTTGGAATCTGTGGTACTTAAGAAACTTCAGCTGACCTAGAGTTCATATTTGTGGACTCTGTAAAAAAAAAATTATGTGCTAAGTAAATAGAAAATTAAAAATGTATGCAAACATTAGCCCCTTATATATCTTTAAAATATAGTGAGACAAAAATCATTCTCATGGTCATTGAGATAAATCCAAGGCCATTACAAGACATGACTTTGATTAGCCTGGTTTGAAGTCATTGATTTTAATTCAATAAATATTTATTGAACACCTACTATGGATTATTCGATGGAGATATACAGATGAATAAGACAGGGTCAAGAAGCTCTTGGTCTAGTGGGGGGAAACAGATACATAAACAGCATTATAAAGCAGCAAGGTTAGTGGTATATAATAGAGATCTGTATAATGTCTAATTGTAGCCCAAAGGGAGACATCATAGGACAGAGGAAGGAGTCACTAGATATATTACGAACTAATAGAATTATATGTACCTTAGAGGAATAGATAATCATATTTTTCACTATTCAGAGTGGCCTGATTCTCATTTTGGAGTAAATTGATGAAATTTTTATTAAATGTCTTATTGGATTGGCCCACTGCTTTGTTTTTATTAGGTATCCATTAATTCACTCAATATTTATTAAGTGTCTACTTATGCTAGACACTGTACTAGGTACTCTGGATACAGATATCAATTCTTCAAAGGCAATGCCTTCCTGAAGCTTGAATTTATGAAAGGAAGAATGGTTATGAAAATTCATAAGTGCAATAAAATATTATGAGTGTTGAATAAAATTATGTATTGGGTACAGTGGAGGCACACCAGAAGGAGTGGTCAAGTCTACTAGATGGAGAATGAGAAAAGCTAGAGTGGAATCTTAGAAAAAGGGCAGGTGTTTGCAAGATTAAAAAGGGAAGAGCATTGCAGGTAGGGGAAGCTGGATGAGCAAAGGCCCTGAAAAACAAAATGGATTAGTGTGTTGTGAACACTGTCCCAGTTCAGCATAGGTTGGAGGAGGGAGGAAAGGGAGAGGAAACATGAGACAAGGATGATAGATATGAATTAGATCATGGAAAACTATATATGTTGTATTGTGAAGCTGGACTTTATCCTATAATCCATGGGAGCAACATAATTTGCATTTAAGAAAGCTCCCTCTGGAAATAATGTGGAGGATGGACTGGGAGAGGTATGCCTGGAAGCAAGACCAGGTGAGGGACCTGGACTACAGTAATGACAGTAAGGATAGAAGGAAACAGACAGAGTCAAGGATACTTTGAATGCAAAATCAATGGAATTTGATGTCTTATTGGATGTAGACACTGATCAAGAAAAATTCTCTGGTCTCTGGCTTCGGTGCCTGGATAAAAGTTTGGGAATGCATATAGAGGAACACGTCAGGGTGGCAGAGGGCAGGAAGGAGTGAGGAACTCAATTTGGGGTTTTCTGAGTTGAAGTACCTCTAAGATATCTCAGGGGGATGTCTTGTAGGCAATCAATAAGAAAGGTCTGGGGTAAATATACAGAATGAATAGTCATCAGTGTGCCCGGGTAGAATGTATACAGTGGTAAAAATTGTGTGATAGACATTTAAGAAGTGGGGAGAGAAATAGAGTCCACAGTAGGAGGAAAGCCAGGAGAGACAGGGTCGTGGGGGCCAAGAGGAGTTTTAAGAAGAGAATAGTCAAATAAATACCCAGAAGTTGAATTGAAGAGTCATACGGTAGTTCTATTTTTAATTTTTTGAGAAACCTCCATACTGTTTTCAATAGTGGCTGAACCAATTTACATTCCCACCAACAGTGCACAAGGGTTCCCTTTTTTCTTAGCCAACAAAACAGTAACACTAATTTGAGACGATATATGCACTCCTACGTTCATTTACAATAGCCAAGATATGGAAGCAACCTACATGTCCATTGATAGATGAATGGATAAAGAAGATGTGATACACACACACGCATGCACACACACACAGGAATATTACTCAGCAATAAAAAAAAATTAAATCTTGTCATTTGCAACAACATGGATGGCCTAGAGGGTCTATTATGCTAAGTGAAGTAAGCCAGACAGAAAAAAGACAAATACCATGTAATTTCACTTATATGTGGAACGGAAACAGACTCAAAGATACAGGGAAAAAACTGATGGTTGCCAGAGGGGAGGGTTTGGGGGGATGGATGAAAAAGGTGAAGGGGAATAAAAGGTACAAACTTTAGTTATAAAATAAGCCATGGTGATATAGCATATAGAACAGGGAATATAGTCAATAATATCATTTATAACTTTGTACATTGACAGATGGTTACTAGACTTATTGTGGTGATCACATCATAAGGTATATAAATGTAGAATCACTATGTTGTACACTGAAACGAATATAATATTGTATGCCAACTATACTTTAATACTTTTTAAATTAAAATAGAAAAAAGAGAGAGAATAATCAAAAGCACCAGATGCAAGATGAGTATAATAATAATTGGGCAGAAAGCCAACTTGACCTCTCAGAAGTATCTGGAGCTTAGAATAGTCTTCATACTCTCTAGGTTTGGAACAAGTGTTAAGTCATTTCTTTCACTTCTGGACAAGTGAATGCACCATTATTGCATGAATTAATTATGAGTGGTACAAGATAATCCTCTACAAGGACGGTTAAAAGACTGATGGTTTGGTGGAAAAAGCATAGGTTTGGAATTGAACAGACTTAGGTTCAAATCCCATCTCTGCCACTTTCTAGTTGAGTGTCACTGGGAAAATTATTTGACCTCTCTGAGCCTCATTTTCCTGAGCAGGGATAGGACTAAGGTGAAGTGCAGCTATTTTCCTTGAGTATAAAATTTAAGAAGGTACCAAAAATATTCATTGATCAAGGTAAATAATATCCATGATGAACAAAATGTCAAATTTTAAATAAAGGCAGGATCTGACTCTGCACTTGCACAATCCCACCTCACTCACCTTTTCCAAATTCCATCCCTGTCAGACCTGTCTTTATTTAAAATTTCACCTCACTCTAGGCACTACCCTGCTTCTGAAACAGATGAAGAAATACAAAATGTTAGTTGTTCATCCTCCTTCCTATCTCAGTTTAAATCATGGATTTTCAAAGAGAAATAAGGAGAGAGGTTGACCAGGAGGCAGAGTAAAACCCTGGGCCGAACTGAGCCAGACCAATGTGGAGCAAAGCAGAACTGAAGGTTAAGTTACCTAGTGGTGGGGAGAAGCCTGCCCATCTCCTCTCACTATTAACCTGGATGCCACCTGACCACTCTCCGCTCTTCTGCCGGAAAGAGAACGTTTCAAATCCCTTTAATCAAAGGCAATTATCTAGCAATAATAGATTCTTAAGATAAGCTAAATAATAGATTCTTAAGATAAGCTAAATTTCAATCTTAGTTTTGTCTCTAAATTGCTCGGAGAAAATTACTAAGTATTTTATTACCTCAGTTTCCCTTTTAGTAATTTAAATGAGCATTATGGAGATCTAGTCAAAGAATCACAGCGTTATAGCATCAACCAAAGGCCACACGCACACATTTTATCATTAATGAACTACACAATTAGAAATCCATATGTTTGCAAGCCACAGTAATTATTTTAATGATAATCACGATGAATCAAGCAGGTCCATTCTTCTGGTATGAAGAGATATGATTCAGACATGAGTCAAAGCATATGGAGCCTTTCTTTAGTCATACTTTTTTTTGTCGTTTATTCTTCACAACACCCCAGGGTTCATGATCTCATATTGATGACCTTAAACTTGAACAGCTCAAAACTGTCTAATAATACTCGTCTTTGATTATAATTAATAACAAATCTAAGGCCACTGTAAGGTCAAAATGGGAACAGAAGGCAAATGGTTTGGTCCACTTTAGTTCACTTGTGCAAATTAGGTAAAAGAAAAAAATAATTTGGCTGATATACTGCATGATTCCATTTATGTAATGTTCGAAAGCAGGTAAAACTAACTTATATTATTAGAAGTCAGAATACTAATTACTCTTTGAAAGGTAGTAACTAGAGTGGCCATGAGAGGGGTTTCTGAGGTGCAGGTTATGTTCTGTTTCTTGTTATGGGTGCTGGTTACACAAGAATATTCTGAAAATTCCTTGCACTGTACACTTAAATTTATAGAGGAAAAAACTATAAAACCATGTAAAAACAGAAGAGGGTGCAGACTAAAAAATTCTCAGCCTAGTTGTTATCTTACACCATAAAGGCTACATAAGTACTGTAAAATTTACTGAATCAAGTATGATTTTCTTGAATCTCTGTAGGAGAAAATACCACATGTGAATCACAGTTCATTTTGTAAATGCGATAAAAAGCCATCACATGTTTAATCGCCAAATATCCACATGAATGATAAACACCTTTTAAACAATTCTACTTTTCACTGTCATATAATGCTTACCTAAAGAGGAAGCCGGGATACCTGGTCCTACTAACAAAAGTGGCCCCCTCTCTGATTGCATTGTAGGGCAGAAGAGTCTGACTTCTATTGTCAATCAAAGGTCACTCTGAAACAAGCACAGTTAGTTGTTGGCCGCTGAAAGGCTACAAGCTCCCTGGCATAAGCTCCAATGTAGTTTACTTTGGGATGGCTAGCTGTGTGAACTAAGTCACTTCATATCTCAGGGTCAGCTTCTGCTCTGAGGGAATAAACGTACTGTACCACCTCAGAGAGTGATCTAAGCATCAGTGAATTACTATCTTATTACTTAGTTGGAAAGCAATTAATGGCAGTGATTGGAAGTACAAAGGATTACCTATGGACATTAAATAAACTGCCCAACCATATCTGGAGTGTTTCCCCAGGGTTGCACAAACAAGAGGACACTTAACTATAGATAAACGAATCAATCAAATCAACAAACCTTCCCTATGAGGGGATGCAAAGAAGCAGAGACTTGCCCTGTCTTCTCGAAGGCCAAAATAACTTGGTTTCGCTGTGACAGGATTTTTGGTGCTTTATTACCATTTCATATATGTAGCCCCTTGTGCTTACAGGATGCAACCACTGCTTTAAGAGCCGAATACCAAATGTAGAGCAATCATTCATATGTTCCCCATCACTGCACAGGAAACTGCTTAGCAGCATTTGCAAGTGCTGTCTCCCAATTTCAAGTGAATTAATAAAGGCATTTGGTCAAGGGAGTGATCGGTCATGTTGAATTCACATGGAATTTAGAGTACTCTATAATGACACTTGCCAAATCTGGAGGAGTATGAGGCAACACACACCAAATGCGCTATTCGAGAGAGGCATCTAGAAATTCTGCATGGGATCCACTGCATTATGCAGCAGCAAGTGTGGAGTTTTCAATATTGGCTGATTGCATAAAGTCTGTTCACCAGGCACATGAAAATAACATCTTGCTCTTCTAAATGCCTGACTTCAAGCCCTTAAACTGGTCATTAAAATTAGTCAGGAATCCACTGAATAACATAGAATCAATTATCATTACCATCTCAGCCAGTGCATTTTTTGAACACCTATCATATGCAAACACTGTACCAGATGCTTCCACAGGTAATCTCAGTTAATACTTAGAACAACCATCTGAGGTAGGTAGTATCTTTATTTTACAAATGAGGAAACTGAGACACTAAGAGTGTCAGGATTCGAATCCGAACCTACATGACTCAAAGCCTGTACTCTTTCCACTAACCGTTCCTGGCTTCCCCAGTAGAGATGAGAAAGAAGATCATAGTCATTTGTCTTTTTGTTTTTAGTGGTGATTCCTCATGGACAGGCTATAACACCTAAGATTAGCCCTAATGATTTTAGAACAAGAAAAAAGTAGTTGGCAGGAAAGGAAAAAAATCTAAATTTGAAAAATTCATTTTCAGAGTAAAATGAAACCCCAAGATATGAGTTGGGGCAGTTGAATTGGTACAAATAAGGGGAAAGAACGTGCCGCATTTCTCAAGAGTCGGTTTTAAGTTCTGACATAGATAAAAGCAGTTGTAACCACTAATGACACCTCTACTAAGAGTATTGAGTCAATGACTTGGTTTCTAATCTCTGCTCCAACAATAGCTTACCCTATGATCTTGGATCAGTTTATCCATCAGTAAAATAAGAATAAATAATAAAATTAATCTACCTCACAGAGATGTTTTAAAGAATAATCTTAAAATAACAACAGCAACAACACCTTGAGATCTTATAAGAAAAATCACTGTAGTCAACACATGACTAACTCCATCAGTGCAGAGGAATCGTTCTTAAGAAAATCAGGACATCCCAGATAATCATTTCAGCTGATCTGGAGTTGGGGTCCTGAGAGGCTGTATCTCCCTTCCAAGAAGCAAGAAATAGCTCCTGAACTGTACAATTAAGAACCAACCAGAGGAATCTGAAGGGTGGTAACCAGCCAGGACAGCGCTACAATGACTCATTCATTCACCCATCCATTCAACAAATATAAATTGAGAACCTTCTTTGTAGTAGAACTGAATTTTCTCCATTTCCTATGGGTTCAAGAATAAAGCTGGGCCATGCATTATACAGTGGGCCCTGTCCCAGACAGCCATCTCTAGCCTGGAGCCCAGTGCTCAATATACAGGAGGGGAAGCTGTAAAAGGGCAATCTGAAAATCCTCCTCAACCTTCATACAACTGTGAAATCTACCTCCCGGCTTGATATAGTTCTTCCATTCTTTCTAGATGCCCCTGAGAACAGAAGCACAGAATTATGCATCCATACACACAGACGCAGAAACAGACACAGACACAGATACACAGACACAAACATACACAACACATACACAATGGTTCTGTACTGCTGTATTTGATTATACTTATTTAAATATGTTCCTTTGTATGATATGAAATCTTCATAGTTGTTTCTTCTGCTTTTCAGTAGACTGCAATAGATAGCTCCACTCCCTATAGGAAGAAACCTACTGTAAACCCAGTTGTGGCTGGTCCTTCTCGTGAGCTCCTGAAAAGCTAGTAGAAAGCTTCCCGGTGACTCCATCTTAGTTGGATTGCCTGCAGATCCTAACATTGTACTAAGGGTGCAGCTTTGTGGGGGCCTATAAAGCAGCTGAGCAGGGTCTGAGGGGCAGGACAGGAAGTATACTGAAGAAGGGTACTATGTCCCAAAGGAAAGGGAAGGCTTAAAGGTACCTAAAGTGTGCACACACAAACATGTAAATATATGTGTGTGTGAAAAGTAAAGCAAGAGCATATTCATTTATTTATAATCTTAATACCAAACTACTACTGCCAAGATACAAACATAGCGGTATTTCTCCTCCACCTGGTCCCTCTGACTTTGATGGCTTCTGCTACACCACCTCTCCTTCCCTCCCCAATGCAGGCTGCCTTGGATACTCATTTTGACCTGATTTCAATTCCATCTGGTCAAACATGCTGGGAGGAGGGGAATGGAGGAAAAGCATTCTGTTTTGACACTGGGGCTAAACCTAGGCCCTTGAGTCCCAGCCACAGGGTGATCCTGTGGTAAGGGAGACATGGAAAGCACCAGCTCAAATCCTGAGACAGAAGCCAGAGCTACCTGCAAATATTTTCTGAGCATCTACAATTTGCCAGTCTCCATCCATTGCAGCTCAAGTTGAGGGGCCCTGGAAAGCTCTGCAGTGGGCTCCAGGATTACTATGTATTCCTGTCATAGTCAACCTGTGGGGCTAGTCTTCCTTGCCTCAGCTCTGATGAGGTGTCCCTCTTGCCTCTTCTCTCTCTCCCTCCCTGTCCCTCCCCTAAGCTCCTTTCCTTCTTGACCTTGAGAGACCAGTAATGGGCTCTCTCTTAGTACTGGCAGTCTGGCAAAGATGGTGAGAAACAGGTTCCCTTCGGCTGGAGTGGGGAAATGAGGCAAAGTGACAAGGGGAGAGGAGAGAAACCAAAAGTGCTAGAAACATCTCCCTGCCATCTCGTCGTACTCCACAGCAAAGGAACTAGTCCATTTAATGTCCAACTGGGGAGAGCAGCCCTGCCCCCAGGTTTGCAGAGGAAATGTTTTGGCCAGTCACGTTCAGCGATTCTAACTCTGCAGAGGGGAAAACCTGCAGAGGGCCTGGCCTTGGCCATCCACAGGAGGCAAGGTGGGGATTATGGACTATTTTTCAGGAAAGAAAAGGCAGACTTTGCGGATTGTGCAGATTAGTCCACAAACAAAACGAAATAAAACATCCAGCTCTCTCTTGAGAGAAGGGGAAGAAGCAAGCACTCGGTGACCTTTATTTGGGCCAAGACTGCTTTGTCTCAAGGATACAGACAAGCTCCCAGGCTACTAGGGGAATACCAACGGCTCTCCGCCTGGGATCAAGAAGATCTTTTCCGCCCCTAAGAATTGCTTGTTTTTGTAGCCTTTTCTCTCCCAGCCCTTTCCTTCCTTCTCCTCCCTCCCTTTTGTTCTTCCCGAAGATAAATAAACTCTCCCGCTTGCTAAACTCTTAGCTCTGAGAGAAAGGGATCAGACTTGCGGACTGGTCGCCCGGACTTTGGGTGTGCTGGAAGAAGGGAGGGGTTCCTGCCAGTGAGTGACAGGTGTTACTCAGGTCTCAGCCTTCTGGATTACTTGGGGGTGGGGGGTACTCGCTGGACAACCCCTCCTCCAACTGGCATTCAGTGGCTCCAAAACAGTTGCTTCCGGCATAGCCCACAAATGAAATCGCTCTTGTCCAGCTGCTCCTTCTAAGCTGCAAAGTTGTTGGGGAGACGGGAGGATCCGGGGTGGGGATGGGGGTTAAGGGCATGGGACTGTGGACTGGAAAGGAAAGAAGGGGAGAGGTATTCGCGATCCCTTGGGGGCACGCTCCTCATCACCCGCTCGCTTCACTTACCATCTCGTTGTAGGCATCCTTGCTGAGCCTGGGTGTCAACTTGATAGTCCCCATGAAAACAAAGAAGAGTCCCAGGGCCACTGAGAGGGCCACGACAGTTATGGTTCTGGGGGATGCCATGGGGTCGCCAAGGCTGGTCCCAACTAATCCTTCTGCTTTGCGCACCCTGTCTGTCTCAAGCGCTGGCAGTTAGCACGGAGAGTGTGAGAGGGACGCTGCGGAGGCAGCAGGCGGCTAGAATGACAAAGGGAGAGGAGGGAGCTCTAGAGAAAAATTGAGAGATCCAGATTCAACCTCTCTCACTACAACAATCGCTGGGTCCTAATGCCCTACGTTTGCTTCTCATTGGCCAAAAGCACAGTCTTGAAGTTAAAAGAAGGTGGAAACGTCAAGTCTTAAATGGAGAAAAGGTGGGTTAAGCTTTGAGCTCGGTCTCTGAGCAGCCTCTGGGATGAAGACTTTAGGGAAGACCTCCTTTCTACCCCTTCTCAGCAGGCGCACTTTTCATCCCTGTAGCCCTCTAGTTATTACTCTTTTCAACCTCTCTCTTTTTCTTCCCTTTCCTTTCCCTCAATCAAATCGTTACTAACTGCTGTTTTCTGCAGTTGGTAACACTCAAGGATAAAACTGCAAAGTTGTCAGGCTTGATTGCTGCCAAGGAAGGCTTTCTCTTCCTCTTCCTCTAAAACCTTTCATGGCTCGCATTGCCCAGTTGTTAACGACAGAGTTTTAAACTTGGCATTCAAAATCTTACACATTTTGACTTCTGCCTCTCTTTGGAGGTGTATCTTCCAATAGCTCCCACTGCCATGTGCCAGCCCTCATTTCCTATCTACTCATGGCCCCATACAACCGGAGCTTTCCCACCTCCCCTACATTCCCTTTCCCTATTCCAACGCTCTTCACTAACATTCAACCTTTTCTTCATTGTCATCTCCTCCATGAAGCCTTCTCTGATCCATTACCAGCAGGATTTGATTTCTTCCTCCTCTGATTTCCTGTAATAATAACCAATATTTATTGACCGTTTACTAAGTGCTCGACACTGTCCTTTACTTGAACTGGCTCATTTAATCTTTACAGCAACACTGTGAGCCCCGCCCTCCCATCAGCAGTATAGAACTATGTACACATCATCAAATCTGCACCGAGATATCAGTGTGTTTTTCATCTTCACTGATTTCATTCATTAAAAAAAATTGTATTTCATGGGATATTGGTGTGTTAGAACATTTTTTCATATTATTGGTCGTATGTGTATCTTCTGTTTATGTCCTTTTCCATTTTTGATAGATTCATAAGAACACTTTATATCATATTGACATCAATCATGTTTTAAATATTTTTTTCCAGTTTGTATTTGCCAATAAAATTGATGGAATCAAATCTAGCAACACTTTTATGATACTTTCCATTGTTTTATGCTTAGAAATTTCTTCCCAATCTCAAGATTAAACACTTGGCCTATACTTTCTTAAAGCTGTTTTATGCTTCTTTGTTTGTTTTACATTTAATACTGATGATTAATTCAATCCTCTTTGGTTTGCGATGCTTCCTTTATTGTACATCAGGTTCCTATCTTTTTACTAGGTCAGTCTCAAGGCTTTCTGTTTTGTCCCACTGATTTGTTTGTTGATTTTTGTAATAGCATTATAATGTTTTAAATATTATAACTTATGTATACATTTTAATATCTTAAAAACCAAGTCTTGCATCATTGTTATTCTTTTTCAAAAAATTCTTTGCCATTCTACCCTATTTATTCTTTTAGGTGAACTTTATAATCACTCTATCAAGGTAAAATAACTTTGAATTTTGACCGGACTGAATTAAACATGTAATTAATTTATAGCTTTCTCATCCAAAACTATGGCATCAATTTCCATTTATTCAAATCCTGGTTGCTTAGAGATATACAAATATCCTTGTTTTCTTTGTATATAGCCTATTCATTTTTAAAAAGATATTTCTAAGGATTTTATGTTGTTTTCTTTTCATCACAAGTGGATTTTTTTTCTCCATTATATCTTCTAACTGGTTGTTGCTGGTTTACAGGAAAGTTATTGATTGGTATTCAGCCACTTTGCTGATCTCTTTTCTGAACTCTCTTGTTAAATCTATGAGTGTTTCAATTGATTCCCTTGGGTGTTCTCTGGATAGACAATGGAATCAGCTGCAAATAATGGTGATTTTGTCTCCCTTCCAATAGTTATACCGCATTTCTTTTTCGCATCTTACTGTGTTAGGTACAGGCCAGCTTCCAACATTTTCCTGGCTGGGGCAAGAGTACGAATGGAGGCCCGCTTACTACATTTCAAGGAACCATGAATTGGAGCACAAGGAGAAACAAGAGATCCAATGATTACTATTGGGAAACAATCATTGTCATGGAAGAATCTATCGCTATTGAGAGAGGAAAGACTTGACAAATTAACCTGTTTTTTTTCTCTTACTAAGCATTTCTGCTGCTCAAATTCTCCCTGCACACCAAAGCAGTGTCTGACAACAGCAGCAGCATAACTCACAAACCTTCATGGAATTTGGATGTGTTTGCCTTTTGTTTCAAGTACATAGGGCAAGAGATATGAAATACTCCCTTTACGTTTGAAATGATGTTAATCACGAGAACAGAGGTTTAGGGTTATGTGTTGTGCACTGGATGGATGCCGAGTGACACAAATGCACATATCTTCTTTAATAAATTTATTTTTGTGTATTTGTAATATGATGGAACCTCCAAAAGCATGGGTCCCAGAGCAGAAGCCCCCCTTGCTCAGGTATAAGAATGATGCTGGTTACTCAGAACACTACTAAGCACTTTTAAATGACAGCAGCCTAGTTTTGTCTTTGATGGTAGTAAAAATGCTTTTATTTAGTGAAGAGCTATCATTTATTGAGGGTTTATCATTTGTCAAGTGTCATTATAAATGCTTTACGTACATCATCTCATTTATTCCTTACAATAACGCCCCAAAGTAGGAACTATCATTATTAGGCTTCGATTGATTAAGTAACTTGCTCAAAGTCACATGCCTGTGTGTTCCTGAGGTGGGATTTGAAACTCAGGTAGGTCTGAAATCAAAAGCCCATTTTATTAACTACTATATTTTACTAACTTTTATTTTATCATTTATCATAATTTTGGCTATTGGTTTGAGATCGATATTCTTTATCTTTATTTGGCTCTGGCATTGAAATAGAAAACTGGATTTTTTTAACTTGAACTTGAAACTAAACTGAGATCTAGTACCCGGTCCCTACAAAGAGGCAGCCCTCTTTGTTGTCTCTTGGGACATGACGAATTCTGTTCTTGGTATATCTCGTTCCTTATTTCCTATCATTTGGATATTTGCAGGTTTTTGCTTCAATTGTAGGGGTCTCTGGATGGTGATTGTACAGGGGTCACAAACTCACATGCCTAAAGAGGGTGAAGAGCAAGTATAAATGTGTAAATCCAGTAAGATGTTAGGCCACAGGTATTAGGGTTTGTTTTGTTTGTTTTGTTTTGTTTTGTGACCCCTGAATACTCTAAAAATTCTGGGATTACTACTAATGAGGCCACCAGTTATATAGCGCAGACCATTGTGCAGTGTTTCTGTGGTTCTCAAAGTGTGGTCTGAGAACCTCAAGTGGTCTATTATTTCCTCGAGGTAATTTGTGGCCTGCTCTCTTAGAGTATTAGCATTACTTTGTTTCTGGTTTACTTTTACTTGCTGTCTTATCCAAAGAAGCATCATTTTCCTCATTTGTCATGGAAGAGTTTGCAAGGTAGATGTTCTGCAGAGTCATTTGCCTTATCATGGCGGTCCTGATTGAAAGACCATGAGATTCACATCAGAGTGGGTACAATGACCATATCTCCACAGCCTCATGACTTGCTCTGTAGGCTGAAGTAAGGTATCTTAATTTTATCACTGGCTATCATCTAGTGAGCGAGCATTCTCTGCTAGCCATAATATAATTACAGTGCATTACATATACTGACCCATTCGATCCTCGAGACAGCCCTGTGAAACAAGTCCAGTGGGTTCTATTATTATGCCCATTTTTACAGATGTGGAAATTGAGGCTCGGGGAGAATAGGATATTTGTCCAAGGTCATCTTCTCATAAGTGGCAAGACTAGAAATGGAGTCTGCCCAACAGCAGAGCTGAATTTTTAGACCGTTATTAGCTCTTAACTTTGGCTGGCATTAGAATCATCCGGAAAGTTGTTTTTAATGCATATAAGCAGGACCCATCTGCAGATATTCTGTTTTAATTGGTCTGGGAGGGGTCTCCAGCACTGGTATTTTAAAAAAAGCTTTCTAAGTGATTCTAATTTATAGCCACACTAATGAACACTGCACTCTGTTTACTTGCCTCAAAACAAAGTGACCTCTGCTGATCTCAGAGAAATACAAGGTACATAGTGGGAGCTGAATGAAAAGTAAAAAGAGCGACAAGGTTTGTGGTGGAGTGAGTGTTATGTTCAACTTATGCCTCTCTCTGTCTACTGTTGGCAACATAAGTTCTTTACAAGGTAGGTGTGAACAAGCTCTGAGGAGACTTTGTATAGTAATACAAGAGTCCCCAATCCCAGGGCCGTGGACTGATACTGATCTGTGGCCTGTTAGGAACTAGGCTGCACAGCAGGAGGCCAGCAAGCGAAGCTTCATTTGTATTTGCAGCCGCTCCCCAGCGCTAGCATCATCGCCTCAGCTCCACCTCAGATCATCAGACATTAGATTCTCATAGGAGCACTGGTCCCTGGTGACAAAAGAGTTGGGGACCGCTGCAGTAATTAATGGCTCTTTTCTCAGCTTCGCAAGTAGTGCTAATCGAGACCCTATATAGCATCGGACTGAATGTGTTGATTATACCATAATCCCAACTGACAGGTAGCTATACTCAGCAAATACCGCTCTTTGAGTTGCTTCGAAAAGAAAACCAAGATCACACTGTGCATGCATCAGCTTTTTGTAGCTATCAGGACTAAGAAACTGAGCCTAACCCAGATATGTTCAGTTCTTTCTAGACATATTATGTTCTGTGAGCACAGCCTATGCACTGTGTTCTTTCTGAGGGTGGAGTCTCTAGCCAGTCATCTGGTCTTCCTGGAGAGGCAGAGGCAGTGACTAGAATCTGCACATCAGAACATGCCCAGGATCCCTGAGCACTGAGGTAGGAGGAGAGCACAACCCTCTGTGCTTCATTGCAGCTCTGGCTCTTTTGCCCTGACCAGAGGTCATGGCGTACAGAGTGCAGG